TTGCTCACAACCGCTGTCGTCGTCGTCGTCGTCGTCGATGTTGTCAACATGCTAATGCGCGTCGTGGTTGCCGTCGTCACCGTCGCCTGAGTCGCCGCCTGCATATGCCGCGCGGGGTGCCGCGGCGGCGCCGCGCCACTACTCATCGCACGCGTCGTCGTCGCCGCTGCAGGTTCCCGCCCGCCCCCAAGCGCGCGGAGGGCACCGGGCGCGCGCGACGCAACCAAGTGATTGCACACAACGCGAGCATGTGAGGACAACGGCCATGCACGCTGACTTCAATAGCACGCATCGACATCCAACACAAAGGGTGCACGACGAGAGTGGGGGGCGAGGAAGGGGAGGTCACGTCGCGGCCATGCATCGCGCGCGGCAAAAGGCACACAGCGAGTCGCCGAGCAAAAGTGGTCACACCGACAGTCGCGTAACAAAAACACAGTCGGAGATCGGGTCCAGAGACCATCGATTCCGCATGTGGCTCTGATGCAGAGAAACGTGATCGATCCCATGACGTTCAGACCCCCGAAACGCATGTGGTTCTGAAATGCATGGTCCTGAGATGTACGGTCCTGAAGTGGAATGCCCCGGAGTGACGCGCGCGTGGCCCCAGGTGCGCGGCCCATGGATGAGCGAGGGATCTCACCTGCATAATGTATACACGGCTGCCGTTCACGCCAGCGGGTCGAACTGGATGCCGACCCTGCTGCGAGCGACTCGCAGCAATTAGTTTTGTCAGTCGCATTGGGCCGTGGACGCACAACGCGCGAGCAAGGCGGGTGCATCCGACCTGCAAGATGCGCGAAGCTGGCCTAACCGATCGCGACCGAGACTGCCGAACGTTCGATGATCATTCCGATGTAGCTGACGCCGCGATGATGATTATCGCGCTGGGGCGTTGCTCCCTGGGCAACGCCCCGGCACCTTGGCACCGGGGCGTTGCCAGCTGGGCAACGCCCCAACGCCTTGGCGGTGGGGCGTTGCCCACTGGGCAAAGCCCCAACACCTCATCATCCATCCCTAGACTGATCGAACGAGCTCGATCATCGATCTGGTGCGCGCCCGCAACCCAATGCAACATGATGAACCAATGTGCATGTGGGCCCACTCGTTGACCTGTGCCTCGCGTTGCGCTCGAACGTGTGCACAAACGCGCCGGGGTTCCGCGCGTCGGCCCCGTCGGCCGCGTGCTTCAGGAGCACGTTGATGACCGCGCTTGACTCGCGGGCTCCCTTGGCCCAGCTGCGCGAGGAGGTATATCTCCACCCTCGCAACATTGTCCGCGCCAGCAACCGCGAGCACCCTGGGCCAGCGGCGCAGGTCGAACTCGATGCATTCCCCTGGCTCGAATTCAGTCTACGCCTTCGGGCGACCACGCGCTTGCCGGGGGTCATCTCAAGGCCATCGCGGGGCCCTCTCGAAACCGTTCCGCAGACGTCTGTCAATTCTTCATGGCCCCCAAACGGCTCCAGGGGCGCCCGAGGCGGCTCCGAGATTTTCCTAGATGGCACCCCTTAGGCGCCCAAGAGGGCATCGAACTCAGTCGCGGCCCCAGGGCGGCCCCACGAGGGCCCTAAGACGACTCCAAAATGCAAAGAAGGTCCCGACATGCCCCCAAGAGGGCATCGAACTCGGTCGCGCTGCGCTTTGGGGGGCGGGGGGGGGGGGCATTTGGGGGCTCGCACGCGGCCTTCTCGGGGTGCCAATCGGGGCACCTGGAGTCCTCGGGGAGGGGCGGGGCGGGGGGGGGGTCTCCACAACCCCCCTGGGAGGGGGGGGCGGCTCTGAAGGCCGCCATTCCTTCCAGGATCCAGCCTCGACAAGACGATCGTTTCCAATGGCGCCACGAGGTCCCACTGGCTAGATCCCGCCGTTTTCATTTCAGCTTCGGCGGTTGAATCGGCAAGGCCATTGTACCGACTAAACGCGCAAGTTCACGACACGCGTGGTTTCTCTCACTCACGGGGCTGAGGATGCGCACGATGGAGGTGGACGTGCGCGCGTTGGTTAGCGGTCGCGCCTGCGGGGGCAGCCGCGGCAGCCGCGCTGCCTTCGCCATCGGTTCCGCCGGCGGCAGCGGCGGCCGCGGCGGCCGCGGCGCGGCGACGGAGAACGGCGGCGCCGCGGGAGGAACCACCATGGGAGCGGGCGCTTTTGGGGCCGCGGGCGCAGTCTGCAGCGCCGCCACCAAGCCATGCATGGCCGCTGTCGCAGGGACCGCTGCGGCTGAGGAGGCGCCCTAATCACCAGCGGCGGACCAGCCATCGCATCCGCCAAGCTGCCCTTGGCGCCCAAGACGCGACGGGCGGCGCCGACGACGGCGGCCGAGGCACCCTCGGCGACATCGGCTTGGAGTCGATCTTGAACACCTTCTTCTCGAGCGCCTGGTCGTCGGGCCCCCGCGGCGGTGTCCTCGGGCGGCGCGGGGGCGAAGGCCTCGGCGCAGAAGGCGGGTCGGCGGCCGCGGCGGTGGCATCGCCCGCGCCGAATTTGCCCGCGTCGCCGGCGTCGCCCTGCGCCGCTGGGGCATACTCGGCGCCCGCAAGCAGCGCCCAATGGCCGGGGGTGGTCTCGTGGTCCCTGTTGATCATCATGAGTCGTCCTCAGAGCTCGTCGCAGTTCCCCCTGTGCCGCTGCGTCGCGGGCGCGCCCGCGGCCAATCGGTTCAGGGGTGAAAGCCCACGGGCCAAATGCCCAAGTCTTCGCACTCGAGATGACGCGACGACGTTCAGTGCGTCTGACGCCGCGCGCGTGAAAAGTCTGGGCGTTAAACGCTTTGCTGTTCTCGCCGCTCGTCGAGCAGTTCAGGTGCTCCGCGAGGGCGCGGTCGATCGCGTCCGAGCGGTGGCAGCCCTTGTTGCAACTCACCATTGCGACGATGCCCTTGGGCTCGGACTTCGCGATCAGCTGCTCAGCGGCATCGAGCGCGCCCTGCAAGACCTCCTTCATGGCATCCATGAAGCCCCCCAGCCCGTGGACGTTGAGGATCGCCTTCGGGTTCGCCCCGCCCTGGTCGCGCCCCGCGCCGTCGATCGCATCTCGCATGATGCGGCGAAGGTCCACTTTGAAGATCGCGGCGTCGCTGGCGTCGCTAGACGCCCCTGCCATGGACGGCCCCCCCGTGAGTCGAGATCGCCGCTGGCGCTGGGATGTCGCGCTGCCGCGCGTAGCGCGCGAGCTCGCGCGAGCCGGGGTCCATCGCTGCCCAGCGATGGCGCGCCCCGCCAGCTGGGCGGGGAAGCGCAGCGGCGCGGCGCGACGCAGCAGAGCGGCGCTAAGGCGCCCAAGCCAAAACGGCACTGGCGATGACATGGGTGATGAGATTTGCTTTGTTAATTGCAGCTGTAGCGATCAAGGCGACGCGGGCGACTGGCGATGGCTGCGACTCCGTAGATTCTGCAGGCAAAGCACGCTGCCATAACGTCGCCGACGGGGGCTGCAACGGTGGCGTCGACGCAGATGCGTCGATCCGCCAGTGTATGACATGCGAAGCGTATACTGTCGGAAGCGATGGCAGTGAAAATGGGGGGGGGGGGGGGGGGTACCTGTTACTTGGCGACTGATGGTCAGCGAGCGAAATGTTAACGGCGCAGCGCTGCGTGCGATGGTAATGCCCCGAGTGGGCCGCGATTGTCGAGCTGCGTAGTCGGTGGCCAACCGCAGGTCGCATGTGGAGGGGGTGTCGCGGAGGGCGACGCGGGGCGGGGGGGTGCGAGGGAGGCGGTAGGGGCGCGACAACGATTGACGAGTCAGGCTCAATGCTGCAGCACCGCGCCCTTCGGCATGCGCGCGACTGGCGCCCCCGCAGCGACTGGCGATGTGACGCAGCCTCCCCGCCCCCAAAGCGAATGCTCGACGACCGGCGCATGCGCCCTACAAAAGACTGGGGGTGCGCGGCAAACCCCCGCTTCGCGCGCTCGACAGAGGGATTCGCAGCGCTACCATGTATCAGCCGAGCTCGCTTGCCCCATCCCCCCCCCCTCCCCCTCGCCATCCGCCCCTGCGCCATCCGTGCGCGAATGGGCCTCGACATCGCCGCCAATGACCCGCCAAGTCTGAACCCTCTGATCCGCGACCACGACCGAGTTGCCGTGCTTGTCCAGCCTGAACTACTTGCTGGACTTGGAGCCGTCGTCGGCATCCTTGCTGGTCCGAACGCAAGCCCGACCGTTCTTGTTGGTGATCCACATGCGCATGAGACCCAGGTTCGCAATCGGGGCCTCCGCCTTCTTCTTCGCGTCGTCCAAGGCGTCGAACTGGGCCCGCGTCGCCCTCGACATGTTCGCGAGCGTGAGCGTTGCGCTCGACCAGCAGATGGGACGTCCCAGGCTTGTTAAGGACGATCATGATGACGCGGGAAGGTTCACCGCCGATCGCAGGCAACGCGACCTCATTGAACGCGCCTTCGGCAATAAGCAAGCGCGCCAACGCTTCCCCTGTCCAACGCTTGCTCCTCCTCTTGAACTGCGAATAGACAGCGTCGTCCTTGGGTTTGCGCAAGTCGTCGACCAGCGTCGTCCGATTCGTCGGCACGTCGCACCCGTTGCTCCTGAGCCCGCGCAGGAACATCTCGTCGGCGAGCCTGTTGCCACCCTAAGATGAGAACTGCTCGCCGTAATCTCGCGGGCGCCGGCGCGCGCATTCGCGCAGCCAGGGCCGGTGACTTGAAAACCTGGCTCGAGCTCGCAAACGATGCCTCCGCTGCACTTTGAGCCGCGACGGCAATTGCATCGACGACCGAATATGGCGCGACATGCGATGGCGACGACGACGAGTGACGCGACGGTGGCGACAAGTGCGCATGCACGGCCGATCTGCACATCGAACTCCAAAGCGCGACACGCTCACGCGGGGCATCGGGATGCCAAGCCACCCGCCCCGATTGCCCGACTCAGCAGGGCGACGCAGACAGATGGCCAGCGAGCTCGCGCAGACTTGCGAGCCTTGATGGGTTGAAGAACGGGCTCAGATACGTTCACCTTCTTTGCAGTGGTGACCGCCGCCAAGTGCAGCGCGAGCTCAGCTCCTCGTTCTCGGCGGCCGTCTTGAAATTCGCGGCGCGCGGGATGGCGACGTCGATCATTGGGCCAGTCATCTCATCGCCGATCATAAGGCGATTCGCTGTCACCGCAATCGCGGCGAGCTCGCAAATGCACTTGGCCCTGTCGGACACCGCGCAGAGTCGCCAGCACTGGCTAATGAACTCATCGGTCGGCGGCGACGGCATGGCGAACATTTTCGGGGCGCCGTCCACGGCGACGCTGGCCTCGAGGGCCCTAGGCGGGCACGCCGAGGCGCCCTTCGTCTGAGGCGCAACCGACCGAGAAGCCGGCGCTGCGACGTAGCATGTGATCGAGCCCCTTGACTGCCGTCGCTGCCCTGTTAGTCTCTTCATGGGCCTGGCGCGCTGCGTCCCGCATTTGCGACGGGGCGCGTTCAGCGCGGCACAGATCGCGCCCTTCACCTCGAGGGCGATGCAATCCTCATCGTTAACAGCGTCGCAGCATGGAGGATTGACCATGAACTCCCTACCCCCGCCAGTGACGAACAGCTCCGCGACCTCCTGCAGTGGCCTGGATGCAGCGCCGCCATCGTCAAGCGCGCCATTAAACTTCACCAGCTCGATCCAATTACATCCACGATCTCCCGAATATCGCGCATTGCCGGGGGGGCGCCATCAGAGGGCCTTCGAAGCCACAGGTGGGCGCCGACAACTATGCCCTTGTTGAGCGCGGCGGTCTGGCCCAAGCCCGACGCCTCGCCGCCGCCAGCATGCTGCGCGAAATGTGCCGCCCCAGCTGGCGATGACGCAACATCCTCTGATGGCTGCGTCGGGCCAACCCCTGAGTTGCCATCCAACTGGTAGATGAACTCCTCGGGGGTCGTCGTCAACGCCCCCTTCTTCCCCGTGGCTCCCTTGCCCTTGCCCTCGGCGCCCTCGCCTTTGATCATCGCCTTATCATTATTCTGCAGGGGGGGGCCCAAGGCGTCAATCGTGAGCTGGCCCCTCAGCGATTCTGTCGTCGACGGGTCCAACTGCGCCTCCGCGAGCAGCTCCTTCGCGCGCATGAGGGGGCCGGCGCGCCTCCTTGACCACCTGGTGCTTCTCGTGCTTCGAGAGCCGGGCCAAGTCGTCGGGTTCGGCGACGCGCCCTGCGAACCCGCCCCTCGCGCAGTCCTCCGCCGCCGCGCACCGAAACAATGCGGCGTTCACCGCGCGCGCCAGCATGCCATCGACGGGGAACTTGAACTCCGCCAGCTGCTTAAAAAACTCGCCTGAGACAACGCCGTTGGAAAGCGCGTAGTGATTGAACGGGGGCGAAAGCCCCCTGGTCAGACCGCCGCCGGGCATGCCGCCCCACTCGGCCATGGGGCCCGCCATGTCTGGGGCGCCCACCGCCATGTCTGGGGCGCCCATGGCCCCCAGAGGCTGCGACTTCAACGCCGTCTTGGCGACGGCTTTCCGACCGGGTTGCACGCCCATGGCGGGCGCCGCGCCAATGGTGCTCGACAGGTTATGGCACCGCGTCTCGCCTGCCGCCCCCGACCTGCGCTGCCCCCGCCACGGCTGCGACTGCGAGGCGAATGCCGCCGCCGATATCGCTGCCGCCGCCGCCTCCGCGGACTCTCGCCGCGCGCCAAAAGCCAAAGCGGCGACGACGACGACGAAGGCGAACCGAGGGGGGCCGACGCGGGCGCGGAGAAAGGAAAGCGGCGGTGGGGGGGCAAAGGGCGGAGTCGCAAGGGGGAGAGGCGGCAGCGCGCCAAGAACGAGAGGAGTCGGGCGGGGGAGAGGATCACAGTGGAGCGAGGGGCGAGGGAGGAAAGAAAAGGGCGAAGTCGACGGTGGAGGAAGGAGGGGGGGAGCGGCCTGCGGGCGTCCGCTGCGCAGCGTTCAGGGCGTCGCCGTCGATTTTGGCGACCATGGGCAACGCCGCATGGATGACCCACTTCGCGACGGTAAATTTGACGCCGTTGACGATCGCATCCCTGAACAGACCGCTCTTGTCTCGGTTGCGCGCGACGTCGAGGTCCACGCGGCCATCCTTCGTCAAGTTCCCGCGCTCGCCCCCGACGCGGTCGTGGACGCAGGCAAACCCGCGCCGAGCATGCGTTGCTCTCCCCGTGCCTACTCGGATCTCATCCTCTTGGTACTTTGCGAAACACTGGTGTTTCGCAAACTGATTCACACGAAGCTTGGCGTACCCTATGGTGTCGGGCCTGTCTTCGCCAGCCACAGCATTGTGCTTAATGGCGGCCAGGGGGGGGCCCGTAGTCTTGATGACTTGCGCGCGGCCGCGCGCGCGACGCCACTGGGCGCCTTGGCCTCCGCGGTTGGTCACCATGGCACCGACTTGTCTACAGCGAAACATCTGCCGGTACGACAGCTGGTATTCCTGGCGCACCTGAAGGATGCGGTCCTTGAGTTCTACGTTGCCTGCCGACTCTTTGCTTTCGGCGTCGTACTCGTCGCACAGCGCTTTGAGCTCGCAGCAGCACGCCGTGGCCTTGATCTGATCAAAATCTCCGCTCCTGAGCGCACCGCTGAAAACAAGCTGAATCGAGATGCGAGCGCACAAAACAGGATAGACGATCGCAACTATCAGCCCAACAACAACTCCAAACCCAAAGAAGCTACGGTCATGAATAATATGGGTTGCAATCGAATGCCTGGCAAGGCGGCCGACGATGAATGGCAAAATGCAATTATCCATGTTTTGCCATCGCACGTAATGTATACGACAATCGCAAGCGCTACATGACACAATGGTGTGATGTACGTATGATGCGACAGTCGGCATACTACTGCAGTGCATGTGCATATGCACACTCGATACGTACGGACGTGCACGCATGAAATGTAGTTACACGTGGGTTATGTTAGCGACAACGCAGCACTCCTACAACCTCATATCCACGCATTTGGTAATTCAGCCATGCGGAGGTTAGCGACCCTTACGATTGAATTGGATATGTTACAACGTAGTTGCGACAATGTTATGAAATGGCTGGCAAGAGGCGCAACGAATGTGCAACACGGCGAACAACAAAATGGTTACGTGGACCGACTCCGGGCGAAAACGCCCGGCGTGAAAAAATGCATCGCTTGGATCTCAAATTCCCGAATCAGCGTTTGCACTGAATGGGTCCCGGCGGAAATTGAAAGATTTGGCGAACATTTCCCGCCGATTTTGGTGGCCAGCTGGGTTCCCGGGTTCCCGGTTCTTGGGCGTGGCTTAATGGGGGGGTCACAAATGGGGGGGTCAGAAAAAGGTCCCCTTTCGTGCCCCTTTCGGGCCCTTCCAGAGCCCCAGGGGGCTCGTTTAGGTACCGTTTGGGTACCTTTTCGGACCACGCTCGCCACCCCCCCAGTTATGACCCCCCCATTACGCGGCGCCCAAGGTTCCCGGGTTCCCGGGTTTCCCCGGTTCCTGGTCACTGGTTTTGGGCAGGCTTCGGTAAGTTTCGGGTTCCCGGGTTCCCGGTCGCTCTCCTCATCGATCTCTCTATCGATCCCATTCCAAACCATCCACTGATTGGGGCGCTCCTCTGGCGCAATCGAAAAAAAACACTACCAGAACCCGAGCCCCTAGACCCCACTTGGATGCTGCATTGTCACGACGGGTCGATCTGTGATGGCATGGCTCCGTTGACCCACTCTGGGCAAAACGCCCTGCGTGAAACAATTGCAGCGCTTGGATCTCAAATTCCCGAATCAGTGCTTGCACTGAAGAGGTCCTACTGGGAATTGAAAGATTTGGCGAAAAAACTCCCGCCGATTTTTTGTGGCTGGCTGGGTTCGCCAGGTTCCCGGGTTCCCGGGTTCCTGGTCAGTGGTTCCGAGCCGATTCCGGTGGGTTCTGGGTTCCCGAGTTCCCGGGTTCCCAGTCGCTCTCCTCATCGATCTTCTTATCGATCCCATTTCAAACCATCCAGTGGTTGGGGTTCTTCTTTGGTGTACTTGGTGGTCTCCAAACCAGGTGGTGAGACACCCGGTGGTGACCCCGATTCCCCCAACAAATTCGCCGGCCCAACGGGCCAGAGGCGTGCTAAGATCTCCGGTAACTTGTTAACAATATTTCTAGTTCGCGCGCGCGGAGCGGCCCCTGGGGGCCCCCGGACGAAAAGTACCCCGGCAAGGTCCCGAGAGAAGCCCGGGAGAAGCCACCAGACCACTCCAGGGGAGGGTATTTTTCGACACCCCTCACGAGGATCGTGGCCTCCGAGGGGGGCGCCGCAATCGACTACCCCCAAGAGCCCCCCAAGAGGCCCTGGGGGCCTCCAAAACGCCGCCAAGGAGCCCCAAGAGACACCCAAGAGGTCCCCAAGAGGCCCCCAAGAGGCCCTAAAGAGGGCTCCAGGGCCGGCGGCATGAGCGAAGCGATTAAATAATTCTGGGTCACCACCCGGTTTGGGGACACGCGGTCGCCACGAGGCTTTGCGTTTCCTGGGCCAGCCAGCGCTCGAAAAACACTACCCAAATCGCCCAAAACTCACCACCGGGTGTTCTCACCACCACGTTTGGGGACCACCAATGTACATCTAACTATGTCCGACCGCTACTCCCTGGACCTTTTTCTGGGGTGCGTTCTGATTAGGAACTCGGCGTAGGTCCAGCCGTGGCGACGGAGAGCTTCGCAGGAGGCCGAAAAGGGCGAGAACGAGGGAAGGGCAACAGCGGGATTGGTACCTCCTCCTGCTCCCCGGAGATCGGATGCTGTGCTTTTTCGATGCGGGACCCTTCCCCCAAAGGGCCAGTCTTTCATCCTGAGTATCTGTTTGACGGTCCTGGGGCCTGGCGAGGGCCCCTAGGAGGCCCAGAGGGGCAAACAACTGACGTCTTGATTTTTTAAAAACGTTGGATCTCTGGGCCTGACGCCCAGAGCCTGTTTTTCTTTAGATCCAGGCAAGCTTACTTGCATGGCGTTCGCCCCCCCCCCCCCCCTCTCCCCCCTCGCCCCTCTTCAATCGAACACGAGCGTGCAAGTGCCTTTCGACTTGCGTGATTTCCGTACTTCGAATTGTTTTCGGCTTGCTTCAGACTCAGTCCCCCCCCCCGTCCATGCAAGTAAACTTGCCCGAATCCAAAGAAAAACAGGCACCCAGCAACAGCCGACCACGGCGGAGCCGCCGCCGGAGCTGACCGACGGTGGCGGCGTCGCAACCGCGGGGGGGCGCCTCCGCTGGCGCCGCTGCGCGAAGCGGGCGTGCCGGCGTCAGAGGGCCCGGTGGGCGACGCGGCGCCGGCGGGCGACCTGCGGGCGCGGCGCGGCCGCCCCGAAGGCAAGGCCGGGGCAGGGATCGAGTCGGGCGGGGGTAGAGCGAGGACCTCTGAGATCCAGCGGCTCCGGAGGCTCTGTCGGGCGTCGGGGACTCCTCAGAGCGTTCCAGAACGCTCTCCTCGGCGCAGAGGGGGGAGGACGAGGGGGGACCAAGAGGGGCGCCGAGGAGGGAGCGGAGGAAGGGGAGGGGCGAGGAGGAGGGGGAGGATGACGAGGAGGGGCGGGAGGAGGAGGAGGAGGAGGAGAAGGAGGAGGAGGAGGGGGGGGAGGAGGAGAAGGAGGAGGAGGAGGAGGAGGAGGAGGAGGAGGAGGAGGAGGAGGAGGAGGAGGAGCGTTGGGGAACCTTCTGGAACGGATTTTTATCCTCTTCCCGGCCCCGCCCGAGGGTCGCGCGGTCGGCACAGCCGCAGGCGCCCGCATCTCCGACGATATATGATGATTTCGGCCGGCGTTTTTTTCTCCTCGATCTCTTAGGGCCTTCCAGATGGGGTCAGAGCAGGCGGGGTCGGAGGGTCGCGCCGCACTGCCGATGCATCACCCATGCATGGGCACTGCATCGGCGACGTCGGCGAGGATTCGGCAACGTCGGCGTGGGGAGAGTCGAACTCCACGTCGAGCTGCATGGCGGATGCATCGGCGATGCGGCGCGATCCTCCGACAACACCTAGTTGTACCCCACTTGTGAGACCTAGAATCCCACCAGCCCTCTGGGCGACAGGTTTAACGAGTTTCTGCTTCCTCTTCAACGACCCCTCTTCCCTTCGGAGAGGGGAACCTTCCCTCTCCCCTCCCTGGAATGTTTTTTGGGGAGGGGGCCCGATGTGTCAGAGGGTCCTTTTTCGGCCCCTGGGAGGGTCACTTCTTGACACCTCTCACTAGGATCGTGGCCCCCGAGGGTGGGAGCTACGTTTAGGACCCCCCTCTTTTGACCAACCGCCTCGAAGATGGCCTCAGGCCCTCCAGTACTCCCAAGAGGCCCCCAAGAGAGCCACCAGAGCGCCCCAAAAAGCCCCAGGAGGCCTGCAAGAGGCACCCGAGAGGCACCCAAGAGGGCCCCTGAGCGGCCCCCCAAGAGGCCCAAGAAGATGACCCGAGGCACGCAAGACGCCGTCTCGTCCTCGTCCTCTTCCTCGTCCTCCTCGTCCTCGTCCTCGTCCCCCTCCGCGTCCTCATCCTCGTCGACCTCCTGGTCCTTATCCTCCTCCTCCTACTCCTCCTCCTCCTCTTCCTCCTGTTTCTCCTCCTCCTCCTCCTCCTCAATCTCGTCTTCTCGTTCTCGTCCATATCCTTCGTCCTCGTCCTCGTCATTTTCCTCCTCCTCCTCCTCCTCCTCGTTCTCATCCTCTCCCTCGTCCTCGCCCTCGCCCTCGTCCTCCTCCTCCTCCTCATCATCATCCCCCTCCCCCCCCCCTCCCCCTCCCCTCCCCTCCCCCTCCCCCTCCTCCTCCTCCTCCTCTCCTCTCCTCCTCCTCCTCTTCCTCTCCTCCTTCCTCCTCCTTCCTCTCTCCTCCTCCTCCTCCTCCTCCTCCTCCTCCTCCTCACTCTCTTAGTCCTCGTCCTCCTCATCCTCGTCCTCCTTCTCTTCGTCTTGCTCCTCCTCGCCTCCTCCCTCCTCCTCCTGCTCCTCCTGCTCCTCCTCCTCCTCATGCTCATCCTGCTCCTCCTCCTCCACCTCCTCCTATCCTTATTCCTTATTAGAATATACTCCTACTCCCCCCTCAGGCCGGCAGATAGGGGCCGCATCCGGGTGGTCCCATCCTAACCTGTAAAAAAACAATACAAAATCAACATTTTTCTTATTTTTTCCTCTCGACATGGACGTCCTGTCGTCCACGGCGATAATCCATTGCAAAAAATACAACAAAGAGCACACGCGCGCGTTCATGTCAGAATCCTACCGAACACCGTGTGTTTGCAAGCATTTCAACATAAAAACATCAAAAACCCTATGTTTTTTCTCACAAAAATTGTACAAATTTCCCGCCCGGGCTCTCTTGCTGAAATCATAGGAAAACCATAGGAATCTTAAGAATTCTGTCAAATCCGGCGATTTCGCGTCATCGCGCGGTGCACTCGCGATGCTCTGTCATGCACCCAGGCCGCGAATCCTGTGCAAAAAATACTACAAAGAGCACACTCGCGCGTTCATGTCAGAATCCTACCGAACACCGTGTGTGTTTGCAAGCATTTCAACATAAAAACATCAAAAACCCAATGCTTTTTCACAAAATGCTTTGGGGTGTCCTGTCAGACCGTCGGGCTTCCTCCGGCCACCTCTGGCTTCCTGCGGTGTACCGGGCCATTCTCGACTCGTCTGGCAATGCGTGCGCGGCATTCAACACGCGCACGCCAGTTCCCGTCGGCAACCGCCATCGCGGCCGCATCAGCTGTACCAAACCGGCTGGCCGGTGTGACTTCGGCCCCCAGTTGTGCCAGCTTTGCTTCTTATGTTGTGGGAGGGCGGGTGGGACTGGGCATGCCATGCTTGACTCGCTCGATACTCCTCCTCCTCCTCCTCCTCC